TATGAGGACATCTCCGGGGATCTCGAGGCAAAACTAAAACGTTTGATAAATTGCTTTGTACGATTCATCTTCAAGATCCTAAGAGACGCCTCTGTCTCCCGTTTTTATGAAGAGCTGAAGTGGCTTTATCCTTCCTACCGACGTAAGCATTTCCTTGCATCCTTCCTCTTCCAAGTCATCCAATCCCACCGTCCTTCATACATCTCCGAGCTCCTCCAATTCAAATTCTCTGCTCACTCCCGCAAAAACCCGTTCCCGGTCTTCAGATTTGTGTACAAAACCACTGCTTTCGACAGATTTTTCATTATTCGATTACTTATATGTTTTTGGATTATTGAGCACAATAACTACTAATGACAATATTATGAAATTGGAAATTTAAAATTAGTTACTACCTAGGCGATTTTTCATGCCTGGCCTGACTTCAACAAAAAGTACCAGTTATGAGTTTGTATATATTTTGAGCAAGCGAAAGCCCGACAGTAATGATCTAATTATAGCAGTGACGATTTCAACTATCACTAATAAAACATATTAACCCATGATAAGCAGAATTCAGTGTTCCATATATTCGATGATGATATTAAGTAGTGTATGATTGTGTGTGTTTAAGAAGCCTCCTTAAAAACCCTAATACTCACTTTGTTACACTTGGAAATTTTCTGAATCTCATCAATAGTATAATAATGGAAACTTGTGGCCAGCACTATCAGAAAAAATAAATGTATTTTTTTTTTAACAGTTATCTAATGCATTAACATAACAATTAGGCCTTTGTGTTACTTATGCCATTAGATTTGATTCGAGAAGAAAGCATGAGATAATGGCATAAATGAGATGAAAATTAAGCTTGTCTCATCGAAAAATCTGATTATACTATAAATTAGAATTGAAATATAACAAATACTACCATATAAAAATCTTAAATAATTCGGAGCTGAAAAAAAGTCTGTTTTTATCTGGCTAAGCGAAGCGATACGAAGGTTATGTGTTTGGGTTACCCGCTAAGAGCTGTGGAAAGATTTTTTGAGCGAACGGCAGGATCAATTTTTTGTTTGATGGCTCAAATTATTCAGTTATATCTCCAGAAGGCTTTGAAAAAAAATTGAGCTAAGAATGCGGACACGTTACGGAATAAAATATGTTTAATTAATTTGCGAGAAGATATGCAATAATTTTTTAAGCGAACGGATCGACTTTTAAGTTTGTTGGCTTAAATTATTCAGTAAATTGATAAATTATTCCTGTCCCTTACGACGAATAGTGTAATAAAATAGAGAGTAAAATAAAGTCCAGGATAGCAGCAAAATATAGATGCTATTTCTCACTGCAAAGATACTTGAAATTTATACTACTCTCCAAAAGAATCAAAATCATCATCTACAAAACCATAGTAAGGCCAGTGGTTATATATGGATGTGAGACTTGGACCTTAACCAAAATTTCAGAACGCACGCTCGACTACTGAGAGAGAAAAGTATTGAGAAGAATATGGGGCGGAATGTTTGATAATGGAATTAGGAGAAGAAGAAAGAGTGTGGAGCTGCTGAACCTGATGTTTTGGCATTGATAAAGAAAGCCAGAATCAGATGGTTAGGTCATGTGGAAAGAATATCCGACCAAAAAATGCTCCTTAAGAAGCCGAGTGGCAAACAAATTAGTGGACGCCCTCGGATCAGATGGCTGGAGGATGTGGAGGACGATCGAAGGTGACTGGACGTTCGATGATATAGGGAAGTAGCCCAAGACCGTGGAGATTTTAGGAGGCCCGGGTTCTTGCAGAACCGTAGCGCCATTATAATAATAATACGGTGGATGGAGATATTTACGAAGTCGGATTTTTCAGCTGTGGCCATGTCGTTAATAAGTCTGTTGTGATGTCCGTGTAGTTTAAGGTGCAATCGGGAGTAGAGAGCACGTATCTGTTGGTCGATAGTTGGTTGTCGTAAGTCGATATGTAAGGTTTTGTTGTTTACGTACCATGGAACTGATGTTACTAGTCTTAAAATTTCGGATTGAAATGATTGTACTTTTTGAATGTGCGTCTTTTTTGCAGAACTGTAAATTTGCGAGGCATATATCCATATTGGTTGAAGTAGATAAGAGTATGTGTATAGTTTTTGTCTGATTTTCAGTTTTGATTTTTAAAAAAAGTGAGTATAGTATTTTTAGTCGCTTGTTCAAAGTCTTTCGTTTCATTTTAACATGTGAGCCCCATTTCATCCTTCTGTCGAATATTAGCCCGAAATAACGTACAGTGTCCGCCTGAGGGATTTGGTTGTCGCCGATATAAACAGGTGGGTATGTGTCTCGTCGAAGTGTAAATGTTATATGTTGTGATTTATTATGATTTAATCTAATTTTTCAAAGTGCATACAATTTTGTAATTGTAGTAAGTGATTTTGTTAATTCAATGAGGCTATTCTGGGGTCTTGATGTTTTGTTAAAATTGTTGTATCGTCTGCGTAAATAGCAGTCAACGTTTCGGAAGTAGTAGGCATGTCATGTTTCTTGATAATGTGAAGTATATGCCAATATTGATCCTTGAGGCACTCCTGCCGACACTGGTCGAATTGAGGAAGTTTCTAAGCCCTATCGAAAAGGAAAGACTGAAGAATGAGAGTATGTATGAGGCAGTATAGTTTTGAATTTTAAGAGAAGTCCCTGGTGCCAGACTTTATCAAATGCCTGGGAAATATCCAGAAACATGCCGGTTGCATATTGTTTTTGCTTTAGTGCTCCAGCAATGTAGTCAGTAACTGTGTGTAATTGGTGTGTAGTTGAATATAATGTGCGAAAACCGATCTAATGGTTAGGTATTATCTTTCGGTCCGTTAATATGTCAACCAATCTTTTGTATATTAATTTTTTGAAAACTTCGGAACAAATTGGAAGGAGACTGATAGGTCGGTAGAATGAAGCATTGTAAATGTCTTTGTTCCTTTTGTGTATCATTTTTATATGAATATTTCCATTGTAGTGGGAATTTAGTTGTTCTCAGGATCCATTTGTATGTTGTCGTAAGGAACACTTCATTTTTTTTTTTTTTTTTTTTTTGCTGAAGGTATTAGTTAAATCAGTATTTGTATTTTAAATTTTACGCTTTTAATGTATCTACTCTTTTTGTTTAGTTCTAAAATTTACATCGTAATGAAGGCTTACTGATAAATCAAAACTATTGATGACATTGCAATCATGTATTAAAATTTTGTGACCTATTTATTATTCACATGACTTTCTGGTTAAAGTACTGATACAAACATACATAACCCTTGAACTGATTCCAAAAAGTTATTGACATTAAAAATATTTTAGGAAAACATCGGCAGATTCATATAAAACTGATATTTTTAAGAGGTTATTAATTTTTGCAACCATGTTTTTGAGTTACAATTTGGATGGATTTTTTACTTATAATTGTATTATAGACTACTGGCTATTTTTATAATGTTACTAATACTTTTTACTATGTAAATACTTTTTTCTCCATCGCACCTGCATAATTATATTTTCGGAGGCGTTTATTTCTATATGTTTTCGGCTATTTTGTTTCTGTTTCTCTCTACATTAAACAACAGTATCTTTGAGGCACTTCTTGAATTAGCAAGTAGTGCAGTAACTTAAGCAATTATGGGGAAAAGAAACTAAGAACAAGTTTTTTAATCTCAAGACTGCTTTAGGAGTCATTTTACAAATGTTTACCCCCATTTACCCATCATTACCAAAAAAGAAGTGGGATTAGGTTGTTTCCTTGCTTCTTTAATAATACTGGAATTTCGTTCTTCTCAAAATTTTATCTTCTGAATAACCTTGTAAATGAATGATTCAGAATAGACCAATAGAGAATTTATTACCCTTTTTCGTTAAAAGAACCTCTAACTTCAAATGGATTCTACCTATTTTCGCATTAAAAATTCCACATTATAAGCCTTTGGTTTCTAGGACGAGAAGCATTCTCTGTTCCTAATCAATCACTGTTGAACTAGCATGACAGCAGATCGTTGTATGGAATGATTTATTCCCGTAATTGTGGTTTTACATACTATTGCTTGTTTTTTGGATTGATGAGCTAATAAAGTTTCACTTTTTTTTTTAATGAATTTCTCTTTCATAACTTGTCCTAGGTCTTGACTTACTCCTCGTATTTACTGCCGAAGATATTAACATGTATCCATTTTTAAGTTCCATAACTCTAATCGCCTTTTTCGTTAATTTGTTTATACCCTGTCATATTTACTCCATTGTTTTTCATATCTTAATCCATTTCTCTTCCTTCCTTGTCAATGTTCCCATATTCCTTTTTATTGACTTTAAATAATTTTCTTGCTTGATCCGTTTAATAAAATCCGTTTGAACTTGGAGCTCGTTAAATTAATCTAAATCAATTATACTCATGACGTAGGAACCATTCCATTTGGTTGATTTATCTTAAGTCCAAAAAGCTCTGAATCATTGAGAAAATTGGTCTCTTGAGATTAATTCCTTCAAAAGAAAGATGGGAAAAAGGGAGAAGCAATTAAAATAGAGGTGAGTAGAAATCAAGGTATGTTGGGTTAATGGTTCTCTTCGTGCACATGGGAATAAACAGAGCTGGCAAAGAAAGAGTTACTTGGCTTTGAAATAAAGAAGTATCAGGATCCTAAAGTAACTATGGATACCATTAATAAAATTAACTTGTTCAGAATAATTTAAACTTAATGTCAACTTTTTACTTAAGCTAATAGTTTCTTATGATGTGCAAATTAATTTTGAGTTCGAACTATCTTCAATTTTAATAATTTTAGACTAAAACATAATTTCTGATTAAAACATGTTTTCTATGAGATATTATTATTATAATTTTGAAGTACTGTACTTTACAAAGGATAGAATTAGGGATAAACATTAAAATTTACGTTTGAAAATAATTATTACGTATTTATTCTAGGATAAAAAAGATCCATAAAGTTGCTGGCCATAATTTTGTTCATTGTAACCAGATTGTGTATTGCCTAGTAGTTATACAATGGGGAAGGTTACATGTTTGTTAACCTTATCCGGACATCTGATTGCGATGTGAATTGATTATTATGAATGCTTCTTATTTTTTTTTCTTTAAATATTAAGTTACGATATGGAAATAAATACATTAGTCTTAGATACGTTACAAAGGGCGGTGAGTCAGGATTCGCGCATCTTCAAACCGGCGGAACAGAAATTGCAAGAATGGGAAACACAACCGGGTTTTTATTGTCTTCTCAAGGTATGGGTTCTAACTTATTTATATCATGTAATATTACTGGATTCTATTGTTGGCTTAAGGTTCACTGCATGTCTAGGAGTAATTAAACAGCGACAAAATGAATTTAATGTAATTGTCAATATTTTTATGTAGGTACTGCATTCTCTTTTTTATGACTTCCTTCAATAACAACAATTGGTTTTATTTACATTCACTCCTTTGTTAGTATGTTACTTCTCGATATTGTTTTACAATTATTGAAAAATAAAAAATATTCCAGTTTCAAAATTAGAATATAAAATTATGATTTGAATCTGAATGTAGAGTTCATGCAAAAAAAAAAAAAAAAAAGCAGTATTGACTTATTACTTGCTTGAACACATATTGTTTAGACTTTTTATCCCTCTCATATAGCATGCTGTGCTATCAAACGTTTTTGAAAATAGTTTACTCCAGGTTTATGTGATCAGCCCTTCTATTTACTTGTTTCTAACAACTTATGGTTGAAACTTTTTGCTTTCTTTTCTTCCTTACCTTTCTCCATGCCTTTCAGTGTGGAGGTTTCTCAGTCCTAGCCAGCAAGCTATTATGATCCAGCTATTGCTTCCAATAAATTCTGATTGTTTCCCTTCTGCTCTATCCTGGACATGTGGTCTTTCCATATTAGTGAAGGCCTTCTTTGAGATTGACTTCCATGAAAACTCCGGGTCTTCATTCACTAGGTACAGACAACCGAACCACTTTAGATGCCTCTTTTCAGTACCAACTATTGCATACTTGGTATCCTTAATTGGCCTGCCTCTTTCCAAAAGGTACTTAATATCTGTACCTGTAATTTTATTTCACTGCTTATCACCCAACTTTTAAATCCTTAAGAAAAGTAGGAAGCTTAAAGGTGTGTGGTATATTTTTATAATTATTTATATTTTGTAGGTTAGAAAAAGTGAATTGATTAATGATACTTTTCTAGGTATACTTTTGAATAGAAATAGAATAGAAAATAACTTTATTCTGGGACAAAGTCCCTTTAGAATATCAAAATAGAACATAATTAAAATACTACATCTGGCCAAAATAAAACAATAATAAAAAAGAGAAAGTAAAGAAAATATTAGTTAAACAAGCTATATACAAAAAAAAAAATCTGTATCCAAAACACTTAAAACTATGATAAAACACTTAAGACTATGTACAGTAGGAAAAATTATAATAATACTCTTTTGAAAAATGAAATAATAAAAAATAAATTGAGTTCTTCTTTAAAATGAGATGTCTTTCTGCTAACAAAGAAAAGACAAAGCTGACAATATAAAATATCAGTGTCTTTAAATAATGATTAATATGTAGACTCATCATTGTCAAATGCTAGAGGTACCGATTTAATTATATACCAATAAAAAATAATAATAAATAAAACAAAAAAAAAACAATAGATGCGGTCAGTGGCATTAAGAGCCGGAAGATATTGTAATATCCCTAGTGAAGTTCACAGTATAGAGTAGTATACTGTATACTTTTTTATTTAGTATGTGTCTTTAGACATGTTGACAATTTTAAATAGAATTTTTTCATTTAGTTAAATATGTAAATGTTATACATTATACCGATATACTTAGTGTGAGTCAAAAAAAAAAAGAAAAGTCAAGTGTGAGAACACCATAAGGCTGACCTTAGCAAAAAGGGGTTGGCAACCAATTACATAGCGGAGCTCAGCTCAATCAGCAACTTGCCTTGCATCGGTATCCTTCTCATATCCAGTATAAAATTTTTAAAAAATATATATAGCATATATAACATTAAAAAAAATTAGCAAAGCGGATCATGTCGGAATTGAAAAGAAAAATCGAATATTTTCCCTTACACATTCGATTAAGAATTCTTCCACATCCATTGCATAAATACTGAACCAAAATAAAATAATTTGAGAGGTTGTGCAGTGAAAACAAGCGGATAACATAAAAAAAATGAAAAAAAAAAAAAATAAAAAAATATATATATATATATATATATATATATATATATATATAATATTTTTAAAAAGTAGCAAAGTTGATCATGTCGGAATTGAAAAGAAAAATCTAATATTTGTGTATAAAATCGAATATTTTTCTGTATACATTTGATTAAAAATTCTTCCACACCCATTGCATATTTTACACTGAACCAAAATCAAATAATTTGAGAAGTTGTGCAATGAAAACAATAAAAAAAAAAGGATGACACTGAAGAATAAAGTCCCACGGTTGTGTTAAAGTGGTGAGTAGGTGTCCCCCACCGGGAAGCTGGGGATAGCGGAGTCAGCTTCCAAGACCGTAACCCAGTCGACCCAAAGCTGACCTGAGCTGATCCTTGCTATGCCGGTCTGTAATTAAAAACCTATGGTTCAGTTTTGGAAGCTGACTCAGTTATGCCCAGAAGGAAGGTCACTAGGACGCTGTTTAAGGATGCAATTATGGTACTGAAGAATGCTGCAGCTAAAATGGGACTACTAATGAACTTCATAAAGAAGAATTACCTCAGTGTGAATCCCACTAGCTAAAATAAAAAAAACAAAACAAATATAACAAAAAAAAAAAAAAAAAGAAGAAGATTGAGGAGTTTATTGAAGTTGAATGTCATTGGTGCAGAAATTGAAAGGAGAAAAGTTGTTACATTACTACCGGCATTACTTTTTGCTCCAGAAACATTTGAATCAGCTTCCTATTGAACCCTCAAACTATCACAAGTACCAACAATTAAACTGTGAAACATAACCTATTATATATCTATTTGATAACTTAATTATTTTATAAGTCAATAATGCATTAAAAATATTCTAAAAAAATAATGTTAGAAATGCTTTTTATCAATTATGATATCACATAAAATTTCACTGTTGAATTATTAAAATCCCATTAATAGAGGGAACCATTGTAGGAGGCGCTATAATAGGGAGGTATATCAACTCTTTGGGGAAACCGAACATCATTCGTTTTATAAAATGTGGTCGACTGAGATGGGCAGGCCACATAGCAAGGTTGAATGAGGAAGAAGTTGCTATTAGGGAAACTGGACCAGTTGAGAGGAAGAGGAAGGCCAAAGTTAAGATGAGAAGACATGGCTATTAAGGATGCTCAGGCCCTTTTGGGAATACGGAATAGGAGAGCGGTTGCACAGGATCGAGCCACCTGGTGAGGGCTAGTTTGAGGAGGCCAGGGTACACATCCAGTTGTAGTTCCATAAGAATGAATGAATGAATTATTAAAATTATTATCAAAAACATTATTAAAAAAAAATTGTTTACAGTTTTATTAGTCTGATTAGTCCTTTTTTTTTTTTTAATTAAACCTTTTCTCCAATTTAATCAGACCAAGTATATACAAAATCATATTATATTATTTTGCCCTTTGTTACTAAGTGTAGGGTTCAAGAAAGATAATCAAGGTGCAATATTTGGTTAATTGTTTTTATGTCTTAATTTTTTGAGTTTGTTCCCAAAAAAAAAAAATTAATAAAAACTACTCAAGTTTTAAATTTTAATAATACTAAATTTGTATCTTCTTTTCAGGACATCTTTTGTAATCAAAATATTGACGTAAGTGCAAGACTTATCGCTGTGCTACTATGCAAAAATGGTGTTGACAAGTATTGGAGACCCAATGCTCCTAAGTAAGTTGACCATTTCTGTAATTTTTTCTTTTGTTTTTTTAAAGCTTGTTATAAGTATTTTTTAACCTGTAAATCTGGCTACAGAGACTGCGATTTGATCTGTTGATCTATATACTATTACTTCTGTGTTATTGCCATTCAGCTGCAATAGGACTTACATAACTATTAGTGGTGATAAAATTTGTATAGCGAGGTTATATATGGTCCCTTATGGGGTAGGGAGTGTAATGCTTTTCAAGTGTTAATCTTCTGTCATTGGCTACTATTACTAATTATGTCATAAATTAGAGATTACGTACGTTGTTAGTATGATTTGTGCTGATTAATATCAGTTTGACATTAAAAAATAACAAAGTAAAAATTTATGGTAGTTGTCCATAATATCTAAAGTACTGGTACTGTTGAAGAGGAACTATCTGACTTAACTGACCAAGGTGGAATCGAACCCACAAAATTCTGAGCCGGACACATTGGGGCACTCACCACAACGTGCTCAATAAGTATAATAGTATACTTATCTAGTCCTGGTATAAATATTGTTACTAGGAAATATGTACAGATTTCAACAGAAAAATCAATTTTTTCAAAAACTTTATTAGAAAATAAAATGTATATGTATAGAGAGTAAAACAAAAAAGAAATTACTCAAAATGTTCCCCTTTTGCCTTGACACAGGCATTTAATCTCCATGGACAGTCATCAATAGCAGCACGCAGCACTTCCTGAGTGATATTAAAATTAAGTGTTATATAGATCTGACAAGTATGTCTTGTTCTTCAGAATGGCCTTGTTTATTTGAGAGTATATTTTAATTTATATGCTCTCTATTTTCTAATTATAAATTTTATTAGGCTGTGTTTATGGATCAAGGTTTTATGTTAATATTTTCTCAGCAATTTTAGATACACTTTAGATTATGTAATTTTTAAATTAGTTTTAGACAAATTTTTAAATGATTATCAATTTAAAATAGTATATTTTAAACAAAATTTATTTCAAATTAATTCAATTTTTATGTTTTTAGTGCATTAACCGAAGAAGAAAAAACAGCTATAAAAACAAGTATTATTTCTAATTTCCATGTGGCAGAGAAACAAATAGCTACTCACCTTGCTGTGTTGATTGCTAAAATTGCAAGGTAATTATTTAATACTTTGTTTTTTCTGAAGTGTTCTTTTATTATATATTTGTTTCTATGAATGAATGATACAGAGATTGAACAGTAAAAATTGTTTTGTTACTAGTTTTATGGTTGAAATGTTGTATGATACAGGCTGTTAATTATTCTAATAGAGTGTATTATACAGTCTGATGTATACAGTAAAATTTTGGTAGTTGGTAATTTACAAATAGAATTAACTTTGTAATCTTGAATAAAAATAAAAATTAAATAAGAAAGAACTGACAGATAGAAACAATTCTTGGAGAATTAAAATTTGTATTATTATATTCATGATAATTAATATTGAGAAAATTATTGTAAAAACAATTCAGTTATGAACTGATGAGTTACCATGACATGACAGTTGATTGTTTTCTTTATATATGTATATTCTCTAACTTTAAAGAATGGAAATTTTTTTTTTTAAACCAAATGCCAATACAATATAGAAATAATTATTGTGAAGGTGGCTAGGTCTGTACCATCTCTGAAGGAGCACATAACAATATGGAGAATCCTTGGTTGTGGTACACTTAAGATATAGGCATTCGTCAGGGCATGCCTGTTAATCAGGAGGAACTTGTTCATGAACTCCGAAAATATCAATCTTATAAAAACCTATAACTGGGGCCATATTAATTTACCATATTAATGGGTACATATTAAAAATAAGTTTTACACTCATCTCTCAGCTTTTTCATTGACCATGGTCTCCAATCAACTTATCCTTGGATTAGAACTGTACCTCAATTAAGCACCCATAAATATAATAATTATTATCATATAGTTTTTAATTATAAAGCAATGGTTGACTTTGGTGAGTGGAGTGGTTGGAAAATAAAAAAGGTTTTTGGATAATTCTTTTTTTTTTTTTGGCTAGTAATGATGAATTTTTACCTTCTCCTTCATTACTAGGTGTGTCCATTAATTCTAAAAAAACACATTTTCAGCCTTTGGAGTATCTGTATTATCTTTCAAATATGACCTTTTGTTGTTTTTTTTTGTATGGTTTTGGGCCCCCTTGCACGTGTACCAAATTGGGCACTCTTTGCACAATGGGGGGCTGTACAATAGCAAAAAAACCTGTTTTCTGCACGTTCTTGCTTGAAAACAGCTGTAATTATTTTGGTTAAATTTGTCTAAAGTATTCTCTTATATATAAGTATACTCAGAAAAAATACATATATATTTTTATTAGCAAAATAACATTTTTGTTTTCGCTTATAACTCAAAAAATGTACATTTTATAGTTAGGTATATTCATAAGAATATGAAATAAATACATTATTAAAATAAGACCAGTATTAGTTAACATACAACTTATTGAACTTTTTACAAATGTTTATTAAAATATTGTGCACATATTCCCATAGAAACTTGTCAAATCTTTTAATTTGTTGATAACTCACAAACTATATATCTGGAAAACTATAACTAAAATCATATATTCTGAATATATCCAAAAATTATATATTCTGAAGCTTATTTGAAAGGTAATAAAAGTTTCTACTAAAATAAACTTTGTATAGACGTCCAACAATTTTTAGCCAAAATATAGGAAAGTCAGTTAAGTGGACACAACAGACTTATATTGTGCAAAATAAATAACGTTGTACAAATTAAATTTTGTTTTAGGCAGTATTAATTTAATATATATAATCAGATATTAATTTTCTTTAGGCATGACTGGCCACACAACTGGGATCAGCTGATGCCAACGTTGATGAACGCTGTGAAAAGCGATGATCTGGTGACGCAGCAAGTTGCTCTGCTTTGTCTTCATCAAGTAGTAAAAGTTTTGTCTACCAAACGCCTTCCTGGAGATCGAAGACTCTTCCAAGAATTTTCTCCTGCTATTTTTCCTTACATTTCTCAGTTGTGGGATACGCACTCACAATGTTTTTTTATTAGGGTAAGCTGGTGGAAATTTCTTACATTTTCACAAGTTTTTATTTTAAATAAGTATTGTTCAATAATAGTTTTTACCCTAATCATTCTTATTCTCGCTATATCGAAAATTTCTAAAAAGTATTGCAGCAAAAATTTTAATACTTTTTTGTACATTTTTTGCTTTTTTGGCGCAATTTGTTGTTGGTCGGTCACAGCTGGTTCTGCAATATTATTATTCATTTCATATTCAAAAGCCTTCAGAATTATTCATGTTCCACTAGTGATACTGGAATAATCGCTATTCAATTTCCATATTTTTTTATGCTATTTTGGTTTACTATACAACATCTCGCACTTTTTTCTAATTTAGATCAGTCTGCGGAAATCATTTCATGATTAGGAAATAAGTTACCGATTATTTCACTGTAATTAAGTTTATTGTTTCTAGCGTAATGTTATCCAAAATTTTTTAGAGGTGGATAGTTTTCTATTGTATGAGATATCATATCTGCAAGCTTGATAATTTTGTACCCATTGAAGTATTGCACTATTCGACTTCTAAGTATTAAATCATTGTTTAAACAATAGAAATAGATATTATTATTAATCAATCAAAATATATTGCTTAGACATGAAAAAAGTTTTTTAAATCTCATACAAGTTTCTTTATACATGAGCTATTAGTTATTATCTGAATTACAAACCATTCGTTATAAAGATACTTATATAATGTATTAAAATTTAATTTTTCAGGTATTAGAAAATCAAGATGAAGCTCATAAACCATTGGAAAAAGCTTATTTATCGTTGAAAATTTTAGATAAATTGACCATTCAGGGATTTAAAGCACCTCATACTGTTAATGATGTTAACAATTTTCTTAAAGCTTTATTTGAGAGATGCAAAGCTATGCTTAGTATTAGTAAGTCTCTTTCATATATATTTATATTTTTATCATATCATCTGACTTTTCATTTGTTTATCTGATATTAAATATGTATACAAATTCAAAGTCTTAAATATTTCTGATATTTACATCTTTATTTGATTAATGAGAAAAATAAAAATGTCTGATACATGATCTCAATGTAATATATTTTAAAAGAATAATTCTAACATCAAGAAAGTATCATGTATATTCTGATATTAAATAAATAATTATTTAATAGTATATTTTAATGTATATATACAATGAATAAAATTCTTTAATAAGAATTATTAATGCCCAACTTAATGTGATCTTTGGTACATTTCATTGGTCAATGCTTCATAATTCGCATAATATGATGACAATCCTATACTTCATTTGAGATAAAATTTAAAAACCATACTGTCATTCATAATTTTGTATAAAAATATTTTCAAAGAAATATGATTATATATCCAATAAATTAGGTATTTAAAAATAAATTACTTAACATTATATTAAAAACTTGCAGCAACAGGTCACAAACTGCAGTTACGGCTGCTGTGGTGATCCTTGGAACAGATTAAGTTATGTGACGAGAGTTGGGGACTCCTGTCATTATTCAGTCAAATTATAATTATTTTTAGTAGAGTCCCACCGATCCTGATTTGAGTGGATCAGACTGCTAAGATCACCATTAGTCTGGATTAAACGAAATTTGTTGTAAAATGCTCATAATAAATATTATTGCGTTTTTTTTGTTCACAAATATACCTTTTCCTTCAGCTTAATTTTATTTTTTAATCAATATTACATAATATTATGTTATATATGAGTTTTTGATCCACAAATTGAGATTAGGTTAATAGAATAAAACATCTTGGCGATTAAAAATGACAATTTATTGTACAGTACCACAAAACAAAACAATGTACATTAATATTAAAATGTTAAAGTTAAGAATTTTAAAAACAAAATAAACAAAAAAATTCAAACAAAACTCTAATATAAAACAATTAATTTCATAATGAAAACAAAAATATGTTTAGTATCACTGAAAAATTCTATAAAGTTCTTACACCCAACCCAAAGGTATGAAATCTTTTTTTTTTTTTTTTTTTTAGTTTTTCTACAAGCAAAGGTTTTCTGTTTTTTTTTTTGTTTTTTTTTTTATATGGTTCTGTTAGAAAATTGGTTAATAGAGTATCTTTGTTTAAATTTTTTCATCATATCAAACTATGCTGTATTCTCTACAAATATTTTTTTTACTTACCTAGCTCATGCGTATAGTGTGTAGTACAGATCCTTTTTTATCGATTTATTAACATCCACCTGAAACTTTGTAAATAGTTTCATCTCATCGTTACCTACAACTAGTTTATTTACGAAAACTCCTGGAATTGGGGCATTTTCAATTTGGAGGGGGCAAACTTTGTCTATTTAATTTGATACTAAAAACTCGTAAATACTCATTTGCTTTCTACTTGAATCGTAAGATAATTTGATCACAAAATCAAGAAAAAAGGTGGCCTTCAAAAATATTGAGCCATTTGGCATGACCTACACTCCCAAAATTTCAAAATAACGAAGTTATATAGGACAAATATTTTTATAGGCCATGAGTATTTACGAATTTTTAATATCTAATTAAATAGACAAAGTTTGCCCCCTTCAGATTGAAAAAGCCCCAATTCCAAGAGTTTTCGTAAATGAATTATGTGTAGGTTATGATGAGATGAAACTATTTACAAAGTTTCAGACAGGTGTTAATAAATCAATAAAAAGGGATCTGTACCACGGACTATTAATTCATTTAATTAAATTTTTGGTTTCTTAAATTTTATTAAAGTTTTTTTTTTTTTTACATTAGTCTAGGTTAGTAGAACTCAACTGTATTTTGTTTTATTTTTCTATCTATTTTATTTCTCCACATTATCTCTTTGATTGACGAATGATATGTAATAATTTATCTTTGTATTTTTAAATTTCAGGGCCTTCGCTCAAACCTGATCATGAAGTTTATGCCAGTAAATATATAGTCAAGTCTATTAACATTTTAGCAAGCCTTTTAGAGCAACATCCTTTCTCATTTGTCGATTATATCACGCCAACTCTGGAGTTTACTGTATTTTATACGTTTACTCCTTCCGGAGAAGCATTTATATTTGAACGTTTTATTATTCAGTGTTTCAATGTAATCAAATCAGTAATTTTGTGCCAAGAGTTCAAGCCACCGAAAATAATAGAAGGTTACAAAAAAAAAAAATTATATTATGATGGTATATTGAGTGATTTTTTGTGTTAGAATATTATTAATTTATTTTTATTTTTTATATTTAGAAACGAAAGAACCACTGTCATTGAAAGCGCATCAGTTAAAACAGGCTTTTTTCAACTCCTCTACTCTTACAGCAATTTGTAAAAGATTAGTAACCCATTATTTTCTTTTGACACCTCGTGATCTCGAATTGTGGGATACTGATCCTGAATCTTTTGGTATTTTATTATTATAAATTTTAAATAAAAAAATGTTTTTACACAAAGTAGAATATTAATTTTGTATAGCTATCTGGTTCATAATTTATTTAATTTTTTATTGGTTTTTTATTTTTATAGCTACTGATGAGGGAGGAGAATCTTGGAAATATTCTCTGAGGGTAAACATTTTTCTTGTTTAATATTTTCTTTAATTTTTAATTTTTATTTATTTATTTTTTTTTTATTCAGGCAAGCACTGAGGCACTGTTCGCCTCAGTTTTTCATGAGTATAGAGATGCTTTGACCCCTTTTGTGGTAGAACTGGTAAGAGAAAATCAGTCGCTTGTTGCACCGTACGATATTAATGCTATTCTTTTGAAAGATGCGGTTTATAACGCTGTTGGCATAGCTGCTTTTGATTTGTTCGATGTGGTATGTACTGAATGCTAATTATGTAATAAGCAATTAACACATTATTTTTATAATACTTGATTATTTTTTTTTGTAGATAAATTTTAATGACTGGTTTACTACATCCCTGCGAGTGGAATTAGAAGTCCAGGATAATAATTATAGGATAATTAGGAGACGAGTCGCTTGCTTGGTTGGAATTTGGGCTGGTGTTAAAATGTCGAGCGATTTGTATCCGAATGTTTATTCGCTTATGATTCAACTTCTCAGATCTGAGGAGGACATGGTCGTGAGGTTGACTGCTGCGAATACAGTCAGAGCAGTTGTCGACGATTTCGAGTTTAATTTAGAATCTTTCATGGACTTTTTAGAACCAATGTTTTTATCCCTTTTCAACCTTTTGAAAGAAGCCCTGGAATGCGATACAAAGGTGATTTATTTAAATTGTAATTTTTTCCTAGTTTTGTATTTATTTTATTTTTTATTATTTCTTTAGCTATTTAAGATAGAGATATTATTACAATCAATTAATATTATTTTTGAGGTCTCACTCAATTTAAGCTACTTGTCCAGTTTTGCACTTATGTGAAATGTATTTGCTAGCGAATACTACTCTCAGTCAACCAGAAACACTTCACTCTTGTAAAGACACTCGTGATTTTTTGCATGATCCACTCTCAACTGGACAAATAACTTAACAAAGTTAAGAGAGTTTTGAAGCTAGACTAAAGCAATTTTTTTACCTTCTTCCGGTTCTCACAGTTTCAGTTATAGTAGGTTATTGATTTTTTTATGATATCTCTAAATTTCAATCCACTTACTCAAGCTCTATCTACTGCCACAAATCCATATAATCCGCCCAGAAGACTGCTGAGGCGCTGGCCAAGAAACTTATTGCATTGAGCTACTTGCTGCATTATCGTTTTTTTTTTTTTTTTTTTTTTTTTGTGTGTGTTATTATGTTATGTGTTATCTTACTACTGTTTTTTTTTTTTCTTGTCTTGTTTTGTTATTACTATTCTTTTTTTTTCTTTATGCTATTATTTCTTCTCCTTGATATCATATTTGCTGAATACCGAGATAGATGGCAAATTTATTGTAAGTCAAGAATATGTACATTATAATAAATAAATCTCTACATATTGCAAATTTATTAAGTTTTATTTTGTATTTGTAGATGCGGGTTTTGCATATACTGTGTTTCATCGTTGAAAGGGTTGGTGTCGCAATCGAACCTTATTATAACAGCTTTGTTCAGTACCTTCCACTATTGTGGCATGAAACAGAACACCATAGCATGCTCAGGTGCGCTGTCGTCGCAACATTAGTACATCTAGTCAAAGTAAGTAATGTAGTTACCATTTAAAATTTCATTCTATTTATCATTTTTTCCATTCCTTTAGTTTTCTAAATGAAATTCTATTCTGTTCTAGGCAATAGGTAAAATCAATGAATCAGAAGATGTTACCAATTTCATACTGTCTGTGATATCATTAAGCACTGATGTTAGGCAAGACTGTCATGTTTATTTACTTGAAGACGGGCTCGAATTGTGGCAAAGTGTTGTCGAGACGACTGCTTACCCGACACCTGGATTGATTCAGTTGTTTAGTAATATGCCACCTCTTTTAGGTAATTATTTTATTTCAAAATTAGAATTATAAATTTTTTTTCTTCAAAATTGTTTTTGAATCATTATTATTATTATTATCATTATTATTTTTCTGACAAATAGAAGGCAACACTGAACACTTGCGGCTATGTATGAGCATCATATCAGCCTACGTTTTGCTTTCTCCTGATGACATTATTGAGGTAAGAAGACTAATATAACTTATCTTTCTTTAATTGATTTATTTTAAAATTATAAGAGTAAAAAAAAATATGTAGAAAAATTATATATTAATTAAATGCTAGATCTATATAAAGAACTTGACTGTAAATAAGATTTATACATTTTGTTTGCTTACTTTTTTGAACAGCTGTCCAATAAATACAAAAATAAATGGACATTATCATACAATTACAGCACGGGCGGATCTACAGGGGGGAGGGGTAAGGGCTTTCGGGCTGAAGCCCTCCCCCCCCCCAAAATGGAAATATATGACCATGTTTTATAGGAAAAAAATACCTCTTAAAGTATTATTGTTCGTGTAATTACATTCAAAAGTACTTAAGGAATAACTTAAACACCATTTCATATAGGTAGTTAGTTTCTTTCTGTTTTTCCAAAGTAATTATCGTTATTTTTATGAAAAAAAAAAGGTTTCGGGCTGAAGCCCCCCCAAAATTAAATCCTGGATCCGCTTGTAATGTACCGATTGTAATCAGGTAATAACGTTATACTTATAGTGCTATTGAATTAAGTATAAAATTGGAATGATCATTAAGTTTTTTACATATAGTTGTAATCATGTAATCATTGATTCCGATTTTGTCCATCTCTGGTAAAAAAATTAAGCAAAAATCTAGTACATTTAGGTGAAATTAAACTAATTTTTCTTTTGCTGATTTATGTATTTAGGAATAAATAATTAGGTAGAAAAATTTAGGTTTTGAAAAGAAAAGAAATCTGTAGTATGTAACATAAAATTATTTTACCATTTAGTTGGAAGAAAAATGATTATAGGTTTAGGCCTCATTCATAACATAAAGAATCATACAAATTTTCCCGGGGGAATATAATCTTAAAATATTTCGGTAATTTGCATCTGAAAAATTTCAAAGGACTTGTTATTATTTTGTCTTTTTATCTATTAAGGACTAATTTAATTAATAGTGAGTTATTTTATGACTGATACTAAGGAAGCCTACAATAAATTACCAACTATACTTCTAATAAAGTCTCTTTCCTGTTGTCCTCATTAAAATAATTATTGTTATAAATAGCATTGATTGATGCATTAAATTTTCCTTAGGTTTATGGACAGACGTTAATAAACCTTTTTGCTGATATGCTGACGGATATGAGAACTGAAGGTATTTTATTAATAATGAGGGTATTGGAACTGTTTATGAAAGTTAATTCGTCAAAATCCTCATTACTTTTAAAACCTCTTCTTCCAGATATTTTTGGGTAAGTATTTTTTTATTTAAATTAAAAAAAAAATTTAATTCAGCTTGTATATCTTGTATATTTGTAGTTATATCAACTGAATGATCAATTCAGTGTATGCCTGTTGTGGTTTTATAAACATATTTGGATATTACATGAAGAAATACATAAATTTGAATGATTGGAATTTTGAATTACTAATAAATTGTTTTTTGGGTGATAAATATTCAGGACGCAGTCTTTTTTAAATCTTTTATTATTTTTTATATATAGTAGGCAATAGGCAAATAGGCAAAAATAAAAAATTTAAAAAAGACTGCGTCCTGAATATTTATCACCCATGACATGTAGAACAGTCGACTAACTTCCTTCTTTGTGTAATTTATTTTTAGGAACATACATAAAGGTGAAGAATTTCCGATGGTAATGTCTGTGTACCTGTCAATCTTAGCTCGCGTTCTTTTGGCTTCACAAGAAACTTTTATTGAAGTAAGGTTTTGATTTATATTACAATATACGTAAAAATTGTCTTTTTATATTTTATTATGATTATATTATACTTTTAAATTTTCAGATCATGAATAAAGTAAGTGAAACAGTTCGGCAGAGTCCAGATGAGGTTTTGAACAAAATGTTGGAGGTATGGTTACACAAAATGCCTTTGATAACTCAGATGGAAAGGAAGAAACTTTTAGGGCTTGCACTTTGTTCCTTATTAATATCTAACTTCAGGTGAGAGAATTATGGTTTTCAACATTTATTCTTTATAAATGTTAAAGACTAAAGCTATTTTCTATCTTCTTGTTGTAATAATTTTATAATTCTTAATATTCATATTATAAAAAGTACCTACATGACATAGATAAACGTTTTTCAGTTTATTTATGAGTTATATTACTCTACCACAACAGTTTATAATCCGGATTAAAAAAAAAAGAAAATTTGGATTTAAAAAACTGTTATACTCAGGGGTGCCCATCCCTCCCCCTCTCTAAGATCAATGGTGCAAGAACCTATTCTCCCACTTCCAAGATATTTTATTGCTCATCTTTTCTTAAAACAAAGCAAGCGAAGGTAGAATTTAAAAAATCGTAGATCATATACAACTATACTTGCTACTGTCTGTTCCAAGTTTTCTCCTTGTACCTTAATATTTAACTTTTCATTCTGAAAATTCATCACCCTGTCGAAATGGGCCCCTCCCGAAAATTCCAAAAATTTTGATGGCGCATCTTTTATATTTCTTTCATATTAAAGTTTAAAATTCTTTATGCATTTATTAGTCAATTTTTCTTATAAAGTTTACTATTTTGTTCACCATAGAATATTGATAATTTCACTATTAGAGAACATAAAAAATAAATATTACTTTTTAGTCACTTTTTTTTATACTAACATACAAATGGATTGAAATTTAATATTTTAAACTCAAGTTAGATAGAGCTCACAATAACATTGAGATGTATTGGGTTTCTTCGATTCAAAAATATTTTTTTAAAATTCCAAATTTCCAAATTTTGAAAGTACCAATTACCCAGCATTTAAGACTCTGAACTAACTGCTAAGTGCCCATGAGTTCCATCAAAATTATTTAATAATTTAGGAGAATAAGAGGTGTTTAGAAATACAGGACTACAAACAAATGCTGATACAGAAATATAGTAACAAACTAATAAATAAGACTTTTAATTTCTGGGATTCTTAAAACATGTGAAATAATAATAATAACAAACCAGACATAGTATTAATTGTTCATGATTTTTCATTGATATAGCGGTCCTAACCGATGATAATATTAGAGACTATTTCTGAAAAAATTAGGAAATATCAAGATTTGTACCAAGAGCTTTGGCAACTTTACAGACTGAATCAAGTACAGGTATATCCAATTGTAATTTTAAGTAATGGCCTCGTCCCAGACGATACCATTCGCTTTGCCAAAAATTGTAAACTGCCAGAGAAAGTGTTGAAAGAAGGGCAAAAAGCAGTTCTCCTAGGCACAGTGAACATCGTCAGGAAGTTCTTAAACATAGTTTAACTTTTGAGCCTAACCCTTGACCTTGGTCCGAGTAGGTGAATCTTCTTCTTTATCTTCCTCTTCGTGCCATTACTAGCGTCGAGGAACCTCAATCCAATTCAGCCATGCCTCTTGGTCCCTACTAAGCTGCCTCATTTCCTGGAGGGTTTTGCCTCTCTTCCTCTCCAATCCGCTGTATATACTCCTGATAGGAAATTCTGGAGTGGCCCCTCGGCCTCCTCCCAGTGGGTCGAGCTTCCATAATCTTCCGCGGGTCTCTCTCCTCTTCCATCCGACAAACGTGGCCAAACCACTTCAACTGTCGGTTTTCCATTAAAATCCTTAGCTCCGCCACCTCTAGGTCCTCTCTTATGCGTTCATTTCTGAGGCTGTCTCTCCTGGTCTTTCCAGCAGCTCTCCGCAGAAACTTCATCTTGGCTGCTGTCACATGGCTAACCTGCTTGTCCAGCATAATCCAGCTTTCGCTTCCATACGTGAGGGCTGGGAGGTATACTGACTTGTATATGTGCCTTTTTGTTTCCTTGCCAACTTCCCTGTGCCCTACTATAGTGTTGCTGATAGGGTCGATTTGGTGAATATTTCTGGCAAAAGCCAAGAAAGTTCGAAATTCGAAAATAATAATAATAAAAGGCTTAGCGAACCCGAAGATTTGATGCGACACCACCAATCGCTTATAATACACCTTCTTCCACCATTCGCCATCCAAACTCAGTCCCTTCAGATCAGCCTTAACGCAGTCCTCTCACCTTCGCTTCACTCTACCCCTCAGACATTTACCAGTCGGTATAGCAAATATTAACCTTTTAGGAATTCTTTCATTACTAAGCCAAACAATTTTACAAGCCCATTTAATTCGTCGCGATGTAATCACCTCAATTATATTAACCGGATACAGTTCACGCAATTCGTTATAAAACATGTGAAAGACTTATAAATTATTTTGTCAAAATATTTTTTTTTTTTAATTTTGAACATTTCTTTAAATTTTGCTATTTCAATTTTTTATTTAAATTCATCATCTAACTCTCTTTTGTGTTATTTGTTAAATATTATCTATTTGTCTGATGATTATAATGTATGAATTAACATTGCAATTTTATTTATTTCTCTCTACTATGTTTCTATTGGATTTTTAATTTATCCATCTCTATTTATTGTAGGTTTGTTTATGAAAAGTTCCATGGCATTGTGTTAGCAGTTACAGAAGTATTGAATGATATTACCAGAACTGACGAAGGAGGTTCCAGAATTGAGTATGTTATTGTAATATCCATATTTATCCATCTTTGTTATTATCATATTGAAATAGTGTCTTCTAGACCTAAAAAAGTTCAGGATTTTTTCCGACCTACAAAAGTCAGGAAATAGTATGGTTTTTTTTTTTTTAAACATCAAAAGCTGTGGAATGCAAAATCTACTGCTGTTGTTATTTAGAATCCTTATTGATCATGATAATGATATACATAATAGTTATAATTACACAAATACACTTTCAAAACGTTAGTGGGTGGGGTGGCTGAGTGGACTAATGCATGTGCAAAACACGAGTTGCTTGGTAACATGATTTACTGAAGTTTACCTATTTGAATCCCTGTGCTGAGGGCTTTTAGCTCTGCTATTTATCCCCCACCCTGGCCCATTGAAAATCTTGTATAGGTACAGGAGGGAGAAAGAAAAGACTTATAAAATGTTAAACGTATTAATGTGTTCATAAATAAATAATTGATAAACAATTATTTTATTTCTTTTCTCAGTATTGGATTTTTTCTAATTGTATTCCTAAAATTATTCATTAAGAAATTATTTCTGTGCCTATAAAGATAATTTTTGTTTTTTAAAATATTTTCATACTAAAAAAAGTGTTTTAGTTTTGTTAAATAATTATAAAAGACAGTATTATGGATATTTAATTTTTGTTAGTTTTCTTACAAACTTGTATTTAATATAAATTACAGTTTTTTTTTTTTTTTTTTTTTTTTTTTTATAAAACCTCCGTTATTGTGAATCACATTATTTAAAATGTTAAATATTGTAAAAATTATGTAAAAAGATTATTAGTAAAATTTAGTTATGTTACAACTATTTTGATTATCTGGGTTTAGTTAGGGCTCTATAACTACACAAAAGGACATTAACTAAATCATATGTACAAATTAGAACTGGAGATGTAAAATTAAAAGATTTAAAAAGTTTTTCTTTGTTCATTCCTTATAAAGGCATAAAATCTAAAAGTTATTGATATGGTTTGGAAGAGCAATAATTCAGCTTTCCAACAGTTGTTATAACGTTGAATTAGGAGAAAATCCTGAGGAGTTAAGATTGCTTTAATGAGCGGTAAAAAAAAAAACCTCCAATAAAGTCAAGTCCAAAAATTTATCTTTTAAAATAATTTAGCTTTAAAAAATTTAATGTGAAGCAAAATCTATTTTAAATTTAATTATAAAAATTGTTTTTGTTCCAGCGCTTTGCTGTATCTACCAGATAACGATGACGCTTCCAGTTATGAAACAGAGCACGAGCATAGGAAGAAACAATTGGCTCTCGAAGATCCGGTTCACAAAATTGTATTAGAAAACTATTTTAGGATTCAGGTAGAGGACAACATTATAACTAGCTGATGTTTAGTGAATTTTAGCAATCAAATAATGAATACCACTTTGTTGCATTATTGTAAGAACAAAAGAAACAGCTAACAGCCATTCATGTTTTTAATTCAGTTTTAAAATCCGTATATTGATCATTTACCTTTTAGTAATATAATATGAAAACAAGTAAATACAATAATCTTTGAAAAGGAGGACTTAATGTTGTTTGTTGTTGATTGCATATGTTTATTATTGAAAATAATTGACCAAATATTGTTTTTAATATCTCCAACAGGCTCTATCTTTGCTAATAATTTGATAAATAATATATAAAGATAAAATGTATAGGTTGTTTTCTTTTATCTAGATTTAACTTAATTGTAATATATATATATATATATATATATATATATATATATATATATATATATAATTCCCGCAAAAGTTAAAAAGCTATCACAATAGCTTTGGGAGCCAGGATCCAAAAATCGACCTGATCCCAGGCAAAGGTTTGCATATAAATTATGAAAGTTTATGTTATTCTAAGTAAAATTAATCTTGTCTGCTATTCCAGTGTCGCTTCTTTAAAAAATGGTGGCTAATTTAAAGAATATAAAGCCAGTAACAGTAATATCCCAAGCCACCAAGATCCGTCTGTATAAGACATTGGTAAGGCCAGTACTTATTTATGCTGTGGAATGCTAGACCACTAACAGGAACCAAGAACATGCTCTCCTAAGATTTGAGCGACGGATCCTGAGATGAATCATGGGTTCAAGACATGTAAACGGAGACAGTGGACTAAAGCAGAATTAAGGTAGCTATATGGGGATGCTGATGTGCTGACCTTTATTAAAGTAAGTCGTCTCAGATGGGCTGGACACGTTATTAGAATGTCTGAAGATCAGATCTCAAAAAAAATCCTCTTAGAACAAATCTTTGGCAAATGAAGAAGAGTAAGACCAAGATTGTGCTGGATTGATGGTGCATCTCCAGATGCTGCGTGCTTGAGGTCCAGAACTGGAGGACAGCAGCGCGGAATAGGAATTGACGAGTTCAATTGAAACAAGTAAACACCAAAATTCCTAACGTGAGCAACCAAGGGAAAACCTTTTTAACTAATAAGCCATATTTTTTTATCTTTTTTTTTCATCTGTAACTCCTAAATGGTGCATCGAAGTAGTAAATTTACTTTTTTTTGACAAATTTGGTAAAAATCAGTATTCATTGACAGTGGTTTTTTATCATACCACTTAACCAAATTCTTTAAATCAGCCACCATTTTTGAAACCATCAGCTCTGGAATGGCAGACAACGTTCATCTTACTTAAAATAACATACACTTTCTTAATTTATATGCAAACCTCCTAAGATCAGGTCGATTTTTGGGCCTTGGCTCCAGGACTGCTGCTACGAGGACAGTGAAAAATGGGCAGAATTTGTAACCCCCTCCTCCCTGTGTACGTTCCCTTTTTTACCAATTGTGGCTTTAACCTAGAAGTGTTTCTATTTTGTTTTAATTTAAGTTGAGTTTATGATCATGAAAATTAATTTTTATTTTTTAAAATTTATTAATGAAAAAATGATTATTCCATTTTCAAATTTCAGATTGAAGGGCTCAAGAGAGATGTCGGGCCTGGAGAATTTGAAAAATTTGTCGCAACGCTTGATCCTGATGTCTTGAAGCAGGCACGAGAATATGTTACTTTGTGATGATATTGACTGGATGACATGTTTTGTACATATATAAACATATATTTATATTTACATATATCCTTATGTATACTATGAGCATAACTTTATATGGTTGCCATTAATCTATTTAGTCGCTAGATGAACTAATGAAAGCAAAAAAAAAAATTTAACATCTTCAAGATATGTAAATATGTAGGAGGTCTGAAACATCTCTGGTTGTGATATTGATGGATTTTTGTTTAATCTAATCACTCTTTTACTGTACAAATCTTTATGAATTCTCTTCTTTTTTTAAAAGTTGTTTGTTGCATTTAGCTTTATTATTTATTTTATAATATTTTAATCCTTAAGGATTATTCTGACAATTGTTTTTAATATCGTTCCTCGATAAATTTTTTTTCTAAATCTTTTCTTTTTTTTTTTAATTACTTTTATGCCATTTTTTTTTGTTATAGGTGTAATATATTTTATATAAATTTATACTGAATGTATTTGAATACGCGAAATTGTTAAAATTTACGACTTGCTGGACAAGTATCTTTTAGTGAAAATTGTACAAGTCAAATTAGTCTGAAAATAATAATATATAATAGACTGCTTGTTATTATGTATATTTTAATACTTGCATTGATTCTCTATAATAGCCTTTGCTATGAATTTTATCTTAAATTAAATTAATCACTGATATATTTTTAAAATTAATATTTTAATTAAAATGACTCTTTGGTTTTTCAAATTTGGAAAAAAATATTTTTGACTATTTTATGTATTTTTTATTTTATTTTTTAATAGTTGTATTATTAAGTTATTTAAGTTTTTTTATTTGAAGCAAAAGCTACCATGAAGGTATAGATACATCAATGCATGGTTTCTTGTATTATAAAGACCAAATAAAAACTTGTTAAATATCTCACTTTTTATTTGATTTAATATTATTTTAACTTTTTATCATCGAAAGTGGTTCATTGGAAGAAGCTGAGCCATGCCAAGGATTTTATTCACTGACCTCTTTGTCCTTAACATATCACTATGATCTAACAACATTTATAGTCCGGTAGCCTGTGGCAAAAAAGGTGACTTATTTCATACTACATTGATCATGTCCACGGGCTTGATAAGAAAAATGCACGTTTGCCAGCATATAGCTATTGGAATACAAAATAGCAGTAAGTGGAGATAGATAGACACCCTATGCAGGTGGAAAACTTATGGAGGGGAAACATATATATCTAGAGAGACCCTATAGATATAGAAAGCTATCAACCCTTTAAATTTATGGTATTTACTGCCTTAAGACATGAAATAATAATCAGTTACCCTTTTATTTCAAATCGAAAGTTTGAATTTACGATTGCTTGTATCAGTGAAACTACAGAATTTTTCATTATTTCACAGCTCTTAATCTTTATTTAAGGGATGTCATTATGTCATGTCCCGGAGCTTTGCAGGAGGTTAATCTGTGAATGATGTTGGACACTTCTGTGGGATGAAATGCTTTAGGTGGAAGGAACATTTGGAGAGGAGTATCCAGTTCTGATTCAATACATTCAATGTGGGTTGGATTAAGGATATCGGGGTGTGTGTTGAAAGTTTGGAAGAGATGTTGACCGAATATTTGGGCTTTTTCTTCGTCGGATTTAGACCAGGTGTGGGAATGAGTAAGAAGTGGGTGATTAAAGTGTTTAAACTTCAGAAGTTTTCGGTTGTCATCAATAGTGATTTGTCAGTGGTAAAATTTTTAGTTCGGTTAAGTAATTTTTGAGTTTTAGTCTGTGCCACTTCGATCTTGCTCTGCATTTCTTATGAAGTTAATTTCTAAAAATTATTAATTAATTAAATTAGCTAACATAAAATTATTTCTTCGAAACCCAATCAACTAATATTTGGTTTAATGCCCGAATTAACTGGCACTAATGAGGTAATATAAAGCAAAATGGGCCAAATGGCAATCTTGGTGAACTCATTCCTCTTATCAATACCATCACCAGGTAATTTTATCTTATGATGAAAGAAAAAATAAATTACTGATTGAAAGAACTCTCATCAAATTTGAATCGAATGTGCTTTGAACTTGGTTGATAGATCAACCAATTACAGTTTTAGTGGAAATTTGGGAATCTTACCGTTGAACTAACTAAATTTATAATGGTTTCTATGTGGAAAATTTTTCTCTCCGCTATATTCATTAGTATTGTTTTAACATTCATCCCCCACTCAAAACCTTCAACATAAGTAGTATGTCATATTTAATGGTTTAAGTTAATAAAAACATTTTGTCTTTTAAGTTTTCAAGGTGTCAATTTTAATTATGAAATTCTTGACACTATTTTGCTGCAGATATAAATTATTAACTAATCAGACATTTGGCAATAAGTATTTAAATTAATTAAAAAAAAACAATTAAAAAAAACAAAAACATTTTTTATGTTATTAATTCTTTAAATGAGAAAGTGCAATAATTGGTCAATTATTTTTTAAATCTTATGTAATTTACACAAATTAAATATGTTGGTTAAAAAAAAATAGCATTAAAATATGTAATTTTGCCATTATCCACTAGCAGATCCAGGATCTAATTTTGGGGGGAAACTTCAGCCCGAAAGCTTTTTTTTTCATATGTACAATGATAATTATTTCAGAAAAGAAGAAAGAAACTAACTATATGAAATGGTGTTTAAGTGATACTTGAAGTCCTATTAAATGTAATTACACAAACAATAATACTCTATGATTTAAATTTCTTTCCATAAAACATGGTTATATTTTACCATTTTGGGAGGGGTGGTGGTGATGGGAGGGCCTCAGCCTGAATTTTTGTATAAATAAATATTCAGAATAAAGAATATCGTTGTGTTTTAAATATGATTAAAAAATCCAATATGACTTCCTTCATACTGTCGAACATTGAAATTTTGTATGTCAATTATATTATCAATCCGACATCCGTTTGGATTATATGATGTAATATAATAAAAATGGCGATTTTTATTCGAGATATAAATATAATAGATTTATTAAATATAAGTTTATTTTATAGTGTTGCTATTTCATTTCATGAAAGTTTATCGCTTATTCTGTTTTTAAATTTTCTTTAATTAATTCACTTTATTTTATAACTACTAGTCTTGATAGTGCTGCTTTCTTTTATCGACTGCTAGAACTAATACCATCTTGATTTGTGCTGTACTCTTGTGGTGATTCTTAAAACTATTGTTTCAGAGTAATTTTGGTGAATATTAACTATATTGGATTGAGCTGCTCTATTTTATTAGTTATTGAAACTATTGTCTTGACTGTCTGAATGATGTTGTATTTTTAAGACGTAAAACTATTATTTTGTCGAAATGGTGCTTGACTTTTGAGAACTGTCATGTTAACTTTAATGGATAGAAGTTAAATAACAAAATGTTTCAAATTTTACTTTTATCAATGATTGCTATAAAACATATATCTTTTATGTTAATATTTTTTACATTTAACTTATCTAAGTCTAAAATTATTTCACGAAGCTATATATATATTTTCTATTAATTGGGTGTTCATGGATACTAATTTGTCAAGTAATATTAAAAAAAAAAGATGTCTTGGCTAATGAATGTTAACTTTTTATTCATAGGGCTACATTATTTTCTTTATATATTTATTCATTAATTTAAACATAAAAATTTACCAGTGGACACTAGGGAGTAGTTCCAAGCTAAAATAGTTGGTAATTCAACTTTAATTTTAAAACACATTTCCTAGCAGCAATTTGAATAGTGACTACTTAAACCATAGACACCAAATAACAAGGGTGTTTGTGACTTATCGAGAATTATAAAAAAACAAAAACATGAAGATAAATTGATTTTAGCTTATCAATAAAGCAAATGAACTAAAAACATATTGAATGATATACAATACAAATATAAAATAATATAGAATTCCCTTCACACGTGTTTTATTTTCTTCTCCTAAGTTACATTTTTATTATTCTGGGGTGGTTTGATTGCCTGTGGTGTCCAACTTAGGCCATCACTACTTAAATGATTAGTTTAATGAAAAAATCAACAAATGGTCATAGATGAACCATTCAACCATCGACTTTAACCATTTTTTCTGGAATAAAAAGCAAGCTTTTACTAAGAAACAGCAATTTAACTTCAGTATAACTAATATTTATTTAAAAAAAAAAAATTATAAATGAAAATAATTGAAGTGTTTGCTGCAAAAAGTAAGTTTGCCCACCCAGTGAGTTTGGACATACTGGAACTAATCGGTGGCAAAAAAATAACATACATCTATTGCTTCAATTATTAGTTTTCATATTATTCAAATCTTGACAATGTAATTACTTCCTTGTTTCCACAAACATATGTGAAATAAAAATGTAATGGAACAAGCACTCAAATATGTTGTACAAAATGATGTTTTGTGATGTCATACAACCAGACAAGTGTTACACTAAGGAAATGTTACGATTAAAAAAAATGTTGTTAGATGTCTACATAAACCAATATACATAAATTTGTCAATAAGACCATGAGACATTCTCGTGCTTCTCACTAATAAGCTGAGTTAGAGTGGCTTTTTCCCTCCCACCAAAGACAATATTTCCTAGGTACATTCCTTTGCCAAATAATCAACAACCCCATTATATGCCTACAATCTCCTCCTATTCAAGTTCTCTATCCACTCCCTCACTACAACATCTCGACTCACTGACCCTTATGTCCCTTTTCACAGATCTGCCTCAATTCAACCCTCTTTTGTTGCATGCTCCAACCAACATATTCTAAAAGAATTTCCTTCTTCAAATTCAGCATTCTCTTTTCTGATCCACATATAAAACCTTCCTATAACACTCTTCATGATACAGCCAGGCACTGGATAATCATGTATAACGTAAAAAGATTTTGTTTTTATTATTCACATTTTACTTTTAAGTATGAACTTAAATTTCTTACCATTTACTTTTTACTGAAATTGAATTTTCTGTTCATATCCATGATTTTCTACATGTATATTATATGTACTTGTTATTTATTTATTTCTTTAATATTATGGTGTCATGTACCGCAACAATAGTCTAGAGGTACCATTCCTTTGCAACGTTTAAAATTCATTAAAAACTTTTATATCTTTTCTTAATAATATTCTTAGATCCTGCCCATTGATTCCAAGTCTTCTTCTGATGTCCTGATGTATGTACTTGTTATAGCATATACTCATTTGTACATTTTGTTTATTCCCAAACCATATTTTTGTAAATGGATTATCATGTTTTTCTTTCTTCTGCTTATTTATTTATTTTTTAATGCATAATTATTTATTTAAACAACGGAAGCAATTCTAATTTTTTGATTATTATTAGTGTTTTTTATTTTTATTCTACATATATATACATTAAAGATTAAAAATATTTATATATTATGATACCAGATAAGGGAGGGGGTAGCTCAAGTGAGTAAAGTACTGTGGTCATCGTCAAGACCCTCCATTTAGTGGAATAGGTTTTCTTAATACTAATTTTTTTTGGGAATTGTTTTCCCATAACTAGATAGAACATCTATATTGTAACCAAAATGAGGTAGCTCTAATAGTCAGGCAATTCAAACAGTGTTTAAGTCATATTGAATATTTAATAGTTGACCGTAAAAAAGGGAACGTACACAGGGAGGAGGGGGTTACAAAGTCTGCCCATTTTTCACTGTCCTCGTAGCAGCAGTCCTGGAGCCATGGCCCAAAAATCGACCTGCTCGCAGGAGAAGGTTTGAATATAAATTAAGAAAGTGTATGTTATTTTAAGTAAGATGAACGTAGTCTGCCATTCCAGAGCTGATAGTTTCAAAAATAGTGGCTGATTTAAAGAATTTGGTTAAGTGGTATGGTAAAAGAACACAGTCAATGAATACTGATTTTTACCAAATTTGTCAAAAAAAGTAAGTTTACTGCCTCGATGCACCATTTAGGAGTT